TCCCTCCCTCCCTCCCTCCCTCCCTCCCTCCCAACTTCCTTCTTTGCCTCCCTCCCTCCTTCCTTCTTTCCCCCTCCTCCCTCCCAACTTCCTTCTCTCCCTTCCTCTGAAGTGAATAATGGCCAGATACAACTGGTGGCTTTCTCCTTGGGGAATGGATCCCCAGGACTTCCCTCCTTCCTCCCAAGCCCTAAGGAGTTGCTCCACCATTTCCGGAAAGTCCTGCGTGTCAACTCTGTCTCTGGAGGTGGGGACTTTCCAAGTTTCGCTCTGAGTAGTCTGGCCTGAGAGAGGAAGGAAGTTCACCCCTTCTAGCCTCCCTCTTGCCTTTTGTTTGGCTTACTGGCCGGAGGCTGTCCACACTCTGGCCTGTCTCCAGAGAGGCCAAGGATAAAAAAGGCTGTGGGTGGGTGGGGAAGGCGTGCCAAGGCCAGGCACTCCCACCAGAGCCTGTTTCTACATCTGAAAGTCCTTGAATCGGGGTTGCCATCCTGCCTGCGTGTTTGGGGAGCCAGAAGGAGCATTTTGGAGAGGGTCAGCCCTGCCATGAGCTACAGAGAAGCCAACATAGGTCTCCCCTCCCCTTTCTTGGCTTCTGGCTAAGCCTATACAAACTATACATCAGAGGTCCCCAAAGTTGGGAACTTTAAGACTGGTGGACTTCAACTCTCAGAATTCTCCAGCCAGCTGGTAGTTGAAGTCCACCAGTCTTAAAGTTCCCAACTTTGGGGACCCCTGGGCTAAGCAAAACAGGAGCCGTCTCGGCCCGCACAAAGCCCCCTCCCCACTTAGAGCAACCGTCCCCCCACACCCCACCCCCGTGGCTGCGCCAGGCCGCCTCCGCCGGCAGGAAGCGCCCGGGGCCCGGGGAAATTCCCTGGCAGGAGCCCGCGCTGGAGGGGGAAACCCCCGGGGGCCTGAAGGAGGGCCGCGTGCCCCGCCCTCTGGCTCTCGGCCGTGGGCGCTGCCACGTGCGAAGCCGCCCCGTGGACTGGCCGCCTGGGAGGCGCCTACCTAAGAGTCATCCCCGAAGGAACCGGGAAGCCCCGTCATTTCCTCGCCAGCTGCAGGTCGAGGGCTCCGGCGGTTGTGTAGAAATCAGCTCCTCCCTCCCGGGGAAAATTAGGGTCGTTTGGAAGTCTTTGGAAACCCCCTACCCCACCTCTGCTCCCTGGCCGTGGCAGGGGGGGGGGGCGCGGAGTCGTTGGGTGAAGCGCCTTAACAGATGAAGAGAGTTGGGACCTTTTAGGTCATCTAGTCCAACCACCATCACTACCCCCGCTGAAGCAGGAGACCCTACACCATTTCTGAACGATGGTATCCAATATCTACTTGAAAGCCTCCAGTGACGAAGCTCCCACAACCTCCGAAGGCACCTTCTGTTCCATGGGTTGATTGTTGTCACTGTCAGAAAGTTCCCATCCATTATTCCTTATCTGGCCTTCAGGTGCTTTGGAGAATAGCTTGACTACCTCCTCTCTGTGGCAGCCCCCCCCCCAACCCC